AGCATTCTGGAGGGTGGTTTGGGGATCTTCTCACCTTTAGTGGGTTTAGATCCATATTCCGGGAACGGTGACACCATGGACCATGATGATATTTCTCTTCATGTTGCAGAAGGATGGAGATGACGGTTTAGTATCACGTATTAGGAGGCCGTGTCTTCGGTTGAGGAAATCCGTAAAAGCAACCAGGCTCCAGATTCAAGCCTTTCCCACCACCACTGAGGTCTGAGGAACGTCATGATGGAGGATCAGCCGTGACGGTTGAGTTGGGAAGCAGAGGGAAGCTATTGCTGGAACCGGAGGAGTGGGAGGATATAGAAGGACACCGGGATCTCTACAAGGACGTGGTGATGGAGAATGCCCCGCCCCTCACATCACCGGGTAAGAGGAGAGAGCAGTACGGAGGGTCCACCTAGATCCCCCATCATCTGATACACACATAGAAACAATGTATTCAGTCAGTGTGTGTGTTTCCTACAGATGGATCCAGTAAGAGGAACCCACCAGAGAGATGTCCCCGTCCTCTGTATTCCCGGGACCCCACCCAGGAAGATCTCACCATCCCCCACCATGAGAGACGTCCCCGCCCCCTGTATTCCCGGGATCCCACCCAGGAAGAGCTCACCATCCCCCACCATGATCAGGTCGGTGAATATAAATGTGACTTCTCTGCATAAAGCGATATCCTTTCTTTCGGGTTTTAGGTTATTCTTACTCAAATTTTACCAATTTCCTTTAGAAGGAAAACCTCAACGAGATGAAAGTTGAGGTCAAAGAGGAAGAAGAAGAGACGTATGTGATGGGTCACCGTCAGCCAATGGAGGAGGGTGAGATGATGGCGACGGTTAAACAGGAGGAGCCTTCATTGGTTGTCGGCACAGGTGAGTTATGGACACAATCTGCAGAAATTGTTCAAATTTTCAATTTTTTCCCGAAAGTATTATAAGTTAGAGAAGGTGGGTGGAGCCAACAGGGTAGGAGATGAGGTTTAAAGTAGCCCTATCAGCCCAGCTAGTTGAGGTGTAGTGTAGGTACTGACTTTCCTCACTTAATATCTTCTTGCCCACTATATAACTCCACTCACTGTGGTGGGACCAAGGCTATGGGTGGGCATTGGCTAGGCACTTCCGGTGGCATCGTTGTAGGCTTCCCGACATGCTTCATTTGCCACAGCGGCTGCCTATAAGCCACATTGGGTAACAAGGGGAACACCTTCGAACCTCCAAAATAGGAGGAGTCACTATCAATTACACTTCCGGAGTTGCTCCACAAGGCCTTTTGAAGGGTCAAGTGGGGCGGCTAGCTTGGGACAAAAGAGGAAGTGAACGGTTTCCCCCATATGAAAATTGGAGCATGGGCATCAAGAGTGGCAACCCAGAAGACTCGGGATGGGCTGGCATAGCGTCGCCACTCTCGTTGGCTAAGGACTGGAGGGACCACCAGGTATCTACTATGTAACGATAACTTCTTGAAAGAGCGGTAAGGTTCACATACTATGAGGAGATAGTTTGGAAGCCAATAAGAAGAAGAAGAATATTTTGGGGGTTCCTAACATTTTAATGAGAGAGAGGCCTGCCGAGGATTCCAGTATGGGAACTGAATCTTCATCATTAGAAGAACGCAACCAAGGTATGTGCATTGAGGATCTGTAGACCTTCCCATCATTGGTGATGGAGAATGAGCCGCCCCTCACATCACCGGGTAAGAGGAGAGAGCAGTACGGAGGCTCCGCCTACATCCCCCATCATCTGATACACACATAGAAACAATGTATTCAGTCAGTGTGTGTGTTTCCTACAGATGGATCCAGTAAGAGGAACCCACCAGAGAGATGTCCCCGCCCTCTGTATTCCCGGGATCCCACCCAGGAACATCTCACCATCCCCCACCATGATCAGGTCGGTGGATGGAACCCTGCCGTGACTCCAGATGAAATGAGGATTATCTATGTAGTCTCAGGTTATTGGTTCTCACATGATATTCTGGCAATCTGTTGGTTTAGCAGGAGGAACAGATGTATATAAAAGTTGAGGTTAAAGAAGAAGAAGAGGAGACGCATGTGATGGGTTATCAGGAGACTGCAGAGGAGGTCGGGATGATGGCAGAAATGAAACGGGAGGATTCTTCTCTAGATACCATCACAGGTGAGTAATGAACTCTAAATACAGAAACTATCCAGGTATACGGATGGATGATTGAGGATCTGTAGACCTTCACAGATGTAGACCATCATCAAGTCAGATGATCTCTACAAGAACATCATGATGGAGCATCTGTTCTCCATATCTGTGTAAGAGGAGACAGCAGTACGGAGGCTCCGCCTACATCCCCCATCATCTGATACACACATAGAAACAATGTATTCAGTCAGTGTGTGTGTTTCCTACAGATGGATCCAGTAAGAGGAACCCACCAGAGAGATGTCCCCGTCCTCTGTACTCCCGGGATCCCACCCAGGAAGATCTCACCGTCCCCCACCATGATCAGGTCGGTGGGACTTAGTAGTCTAGGAGTGACCCCGAACCCTATGAGATGACATTCCTCCGTGTGTCTAGTTGGCGGCACTGCCGTGGTAAAGATGTTATTTTCTGTCATTCTTCTGGTTTAGGGTGAAGAGCCGAGTAATATGAAAGTTGACGTTAAAGAGAAGGAAGAAGAGGTGGATGTGTTGGGAGATCAGCAGACTAGGGTGACCGTTAAAGAGGAGGAATCCTCTCTCGGAAGGGGTAAGTACGGTAATACACGATGGACGTGGGAACTGTTCACATTTCCATTTTATAGGTTTGAAGAACACAATATGACTGAAGGTGATGGAGACTCCAGAGACCTTCTCATCATCTGGTAAGAGGAGAATGGGTTCTGAATGGTGGACCAGTATAGAGGGTGACTGAAGGTGATGGAGATCCCACAGACCTTCTCATCATCTGGTCAGAGGAGAATGGGTTCTGAATGGTGGACCAGTATAGAGGGTGACTGGAGGTGATGGAGAACCTATGGACCTTCTCATACCAGTATAGAGGATGACAGAAAGGTGAGGGAGAACCTATGGACCTTCTCATCATCTGGTAAGAGGAGAATGGGTTCTGAATGGTGGGCTAGTATGGAGGGTGACTGAAGGTGATGGAGAACCTATGGACCGTCTCAGTGTCTGGTAAGAGGAGGAAGGGGTCTGAATGGTGGACCAGTATGGAAGGTGACTGAAGGTGATGGAGATCCCACAGACCTTCTCGTCGTCTGGTAAGAGGACGATGAATCATGAATGGTGTCCCACAGCATTATTGTTGGTGGCGTCACCTCTGGAACTACAAAGGGGGAGTCCAATGACGCATCTACTGACAGGAAGTAGAGTATCCATGTGATGCCCAAAAGATCATTTCCTGTACCATTCTGGACAGGCCAGCAACATGTGAGGGAAAGGTTCAGGAGGTACTTACAGGTGCAATCATAAATTTTGGTAACGAAGTTGGGAGTTCATTTGCCGCGGCAGATCACTCCGGCTGCCAAACAGTAAACAATAACGTGCACCTAATATAACATTTTTGTTCCAACAGATGGACGTGATGCTCGGGGCACCTCAGAAGGTCATCTCATCTTATCTCCAGGTCATAATACAGAAAATGGTGGTAAAGGAAAAGGAAGCGCCAATTCCAGTTCCAAATTGCGCAACAATGAGAAGCTGTTTTCCTGCCCAGAGTGTGGGAAAGGCTTCACTTGGAAAGGAGACCTTCTCAGGCACCAGAGAATTCACACGGGCGAGCGCCCTTTTTCATGTATGGAATGCGGGAAATGTTTCACCCAAAAAGCGAATCTCATAGTGCACGAGCGCTTTCACACTGGCGTGCGGCCATACGCTTGCTCAGAGTGTGGGAAGTGTTTCACTCGGAATGGAGACCTTCTTACGCACCAGAGAACTCACACTGGGGAGCGTCCTTTTTCGTGTTTAGACTGTGGGAAAAGTTTCACGCAGAAAGCGAGCCTTGTTTTACATGAGCGGCTTCACACGGGCGTGCGGCCGTATTCTTGTTCAGAGTGCGGGAAAAGTTTCACCCAGAAAGGCGACCTTCTTACCCACCAGAGCAGCCATATGGACGAGCGTCCTTTTTCATGCTTGAACTGTGAGAAGACGTTCAAAAAGAAATCCGAACTTGTTCTACACCAGAGAGTCCACACCGGGGAGACCTTTGCATGCTCAGAGTGTGCAAAATCATTCACAAAAAAATATAAACTTGTTACGCACCAGAGAGTCCACACCGGAGAAAAGCCCTTTCCTTGTCCTGAGTGTGGCAAATGTTTTCCATCTAAAGAGAACTTAAGTAGTCATTTAAAGTGCCACACCAGCGAGAAGCCATTTTCCTGTTTGGTGTGTGGGAAGCGTTTCACCAGGAAAGCCTGTCTTATTTCACATCAGGACTCTCACACTACTGAGAAGCAATATACCTGTTCCACGTGTGGGAAAAGCTTCACCTTCAAAAACAGTCTTCTTAGGCATCAGAGGGTCCATTGTGGGAAGAACACAGGCCCCCAAAGTGAAGGAAATTAGAGCAAAATGAGAGGCAGCTGATCCCCTGAGAATTAAAACAGAGTAGCCCTTTAAATGTTCTTGTGCAACATCAGAGAACCCACATTGGTCAGCCATTTTCTTGACAAGTTTTGATCAAGAGTTTTTGACTTATCACGGGGTGGAAGATGTTCTTGTCAGACATTTCAAGCTAACAAAGGATAACTGGAAGTGACAGTTGCATTCAGAGTCCAGGAAAGGCTTTATATACACATCCATATTGGAACCTCATATGAGGGAGACGCCATACTCTTGTTCCAAGACGTGGAAGGCATTTGTGATAGGGATTAAATCACCTTCTAGACATCAGAATGTTCAAAAAGCTGAGGGGCCTTTTCCAGCATGGATTGTCAGAGATGGTCTGAAAGCAAAACTTGGTGGAACAGGAGGTCCCACTCGAGAGAAAAACCTCCTGTGACGTTAAAAGGTCTCATCTGCGCATGAAGATCATTTGTTGCTCCTGACTTCGAGGGGTTCCTATAGTGGACTTCCAGCTGGTGGACTTCTATAGATAAAGATCATGACTTAAGTATGGAAAAAACATCCTCTTCTAGACATCAGAATGTTCAGAGAGCTGAGGGACCGTTTCCAGTAAGCATTACTGGAGATGTTCTGGAAGCTAAACTGGGTGGAAAGAGAGGTCCCACTCAAGAAAAACCTCTTGTGATGTTGAAGGGTCTCTTCTACAGATAAAGATCATTGTTGCCCCTGACTTCGAGGGGTTCCTATGGTGGACTTCCAGCTCTCCTCCAGCTGGTGGCCGTCTGTAGATAAAGATCATGACTTAAGTATGGAACCCAAATCATCTTCTAGACATCAGAATGTTCAAAGAGTTGAGGGACCTTTTCCAGTAAGGATTGCCGGAGATGTTCTGGAAGCAAAACTGGGTGGAACAGGAAGTCTCACTTGAGAAAAACCTCTTGTGATGTTGAAGGGTCTCTTCTACAGATAAAGATCATTTGTTGCCTCAGACTTCAATCGTGTTCCCATAGTGGACTTCCAGCTCTCCTCCAGCTGGTGGTCATCTATAGAAATCATGACTTAAGTATGGAAAACAAATCACCTTCATGACATCAGTATGTTCAAAGAGCTGAGGGACCTTTTACAGCATGGATTGCTGGAGATGTTCCCGGAAGATAAACTGGGTGGAACAGGAGGTCCCACTCAAGAAAAACCTCTTGTGATGTTGAAGGGTCTCTTCTACAGATAAAAATCAATGTTGCTCCTAACTTTGAGAGGTTCCTATAGTGGACTTCCAGCTGGTGGCCGTCTTTAGATAAAGATCATGACTAAAGTATGGAAACCAAATCATCTTCTGGACATCAGAATGTTTAAAGAGTTGAGGGACCTTTTCCAGCTGGAGATGTTCTGGAAGTAAAACTGGGTGGAACAGGAGGTCCCACTTGAGAAAAACCTCTTGTGATGTTGAAGGGTCTCATCTACGGATAAAGATCATTGTTGCTCCATTTTTCGAGGAGTTCTTATAGTTGACTTCCAGCTCTCCCCCAGCTGGTGGTCCTCAAGGACAGCAGACAGGTGGATGAACTTTGAACGGCTCCTTGTCCTGAAGCTGAACTCCGGGATCAGCACATATTGTCCTCATACGAGAGCCAAGTATATTCTTCCCGGAATCTTGGTGAGCTTCGTGTATGGTTGCAGTAATCCAACGTGAAACTTCCTGTAATAAAGACCACTCTGAGATACGTAGGAAGAATGAGAGCGCCATAGAACTATTGTGAGTCCAGTAGGTGTTTAGTGTACATGGCAACAGAACAAAGCCAACGCGTTTCGGGGGGCTCAAACCTTCCCCTTCATCAGGGTTCATTAACAACCTACTGGACGCACATATTTCTATAGTGATCTCATCTCTCGGTAGTGGTCGCGGGTTCCTTGATGTCCCCATTATAGTTTAGGTCAGTTCCTGTTCTACTTGTGGCCAGTACCTACCTCAACTTGCTATGGTCACCTGACATGTTACGCATGTTTTTTTGTTTTAAAAACTATTAAAATGAAAGTTAAATTATAAAAGATTCTATTTTTCTGCATGTTGGAAAAGATTCCTGGTGGTGGGGCGGAAGATGGAAGTTGATGATGGGGAACGGGAGCTGATGGCAGTGAGATGAGGGGGAAGGGAGAGAACCTGATGGCTGAGGAATGGGACCTGATGCCTGGGGGGTTATGGGGATGGTGAGGAGGGATAGGAGGTAATGGTGGAGCGGATGGCAGTGAGATGAGGGGGAAGGGAGAGAACCTGATGGCTGAGGGACGGGACCTGATGGCTGGGAGGATGGGACCTAATGGCTGGGGGGTTATGGGAATGGTGAGGAGGGATGAGAGGTAATGATGGAGCTGATGGCAGTGAGATGAGGGGGAAGGGAGAGAACATGATGGCTGAGGAATGGGGCCTGATGGCTGGGGGGTTATGGGAATGGTGAGGAGGGATAGGTGGTAATGGTGGAGCTGATGGCAGTGCGATGAGGGGGAAGGGAGAGAACCTGATGGCTGAGGGACGGAACCTGATGGCTGTGGGGATGGGACCTAATGGCTGTGGGGAAGGGACCTGATGGCTGGGGGGTTATGGGGATGGTGAGGAGGGATGAGAGGTAATGGTGGAGCTGATGGCAGTGAGATGAGGGGGAAGGGAGAGAACCTGATGGCTGAGGGATGGGACCTGATGGCTGGGAGGATGGGACCTGATGGCTGGGAGGATGGGACCTGATGGCTGGGAGGTTATGGGGATGGTGATGAGGGATAGGAGGTAATATTGGAGCTGATGGCAGTGAGATGAGGGGGAAGGGAGAGAACCTGATGGTGAGATGAGGGGGAAGGGAGAGAACCCGATGGCTGAGGGAGAGAACCTGATGGCTGGGAGGATGGGACCTAATGGCTGTGGGGAAGGGACCTGATGGCTGGGGGGTTATGGGGATGGTGAGGAGGGATAGGAGGTAATATTGGAGCTGATGGCAGTGAGATGAAGGGGAAGGGAGAGAACCTGATGGCTGAGGGATGGGACCTTATGGCTGGGGGGTTATGGGAATGGTGAGGAGGTATAGGAGGTAATGGTGGAGGGGCAGCTTATGATAAACAGTGGGAACTTGATGGTCAGTAGGTAGGCATGACATTGGGACCTCACCCTCTGGGCCGTACCACAAAGGCAAGGACAGAGGCAGCCATATTCCCTATTTGAGACTTGGAGGATTAGGGTGGCCCCTCTTTCTTCTACAGCCAAAGCTCCTCTGATGAAGTAGCTCAGGGGTAGTGGTATGGCATTAGTTCCTGGGGTGTCTGTAGGTCAACAATAGAGGTCGTGGCATCTAGTTCAGCTGGAAAGCTGGTGGACAGTGTAGAGCAGTAGCACCCACAGAAGGATATCCGGGTCGCAACAACAGCAGGTTCTGAGTGATGACTCGGATCAGAAGAGGAGATGTAGCAGGCGGAAGCAAGGTCAAAAGACAAGTTAGGTTCCATATCTGGAAATCAGCAGGTTACCAATGGAGCAAACCACAGAAAGGTCACAAGAGCCAAGTTCTATAAATTGGTGGCCAGTAAGGTATTAATAGATCAGGCCATAGCAAGGTCTGAAAGGAAAGCCTAGCTCCAAAACTGACAGTGAGGTAACAATGGAGCATGTCATGGCAAGGTCAGAAGATGAGCCCAGATCGAAAATTGGTGCTCAACAAGGTAAGAAAGCAGCAGGCCAGAAGATGATCCAAACTCAATAACTGGTGACCAGTGATGTACCAATGGAGGAGGCCATAGCAAGGTCAGAAGATGATCCAAGCTTGATAACTGGTGGCTAGTGAGGTACCAATGGAGGAGCCCATAGCAAGGTCAGAAGATGAGCCAAGCTTGATAATTGGTGGCCAGTAAGGTACAAATGCAGTAGGCCAAAGCAAGGTTAGAAGATGAGCCAAGATCAAAAACTGGTGACCAGTGAGGTACCAATGGAGGAGGCCATAGCAAGGTCAGAAGATGATCCAAGCTTGATAACTGGTGACCAGAGAGGTACCAATGGAGCAGGCCATAGCAAGTTCAGAAGATGATCCAAGCTCGATAACTGGTGACCAGAGAGGTACCAATGGAGCAGGCTATAGCAAGTTCAGAAGATGATCCAAGCTCGATAACTGGTGACCAGAGAAGTACCAAGGGAGCAGGCCATAGCAAGGTCAGAAGATGATCCAAGCTCGATAACTGGTGACCAGAGAAGTACCAATGGAGCAGGCCATATCAAGGTCAGAAGATGATCCAAGCTTGATAATTGGCCATCAGTGAGGTCCCAATGCAGTACGATCTGGAGACAAGCCACGGGGAGCAAATGGCAGACTATGCCGTACAAATGCAACAAAAATTGGGTCAAGAAGAGCAATATTACAAAGTATCAGTTCACCAGAAGAGTAGAAGACGCTTCGAATGGACTTCCAGCAGACGCTTGAGTCAGTCAACAATTAACTTAACCACGACTGGGATAAACAGAGCTCCATCCACGACAAATGCGTTACCGAAAAAATAAAAGGTTGATGGACCACTTGGTCTTCTCCTGTCGTCACTCTATGTTTCCACCTTTCCAATTTTACCTCAATTTTCTGCACACCATTCCAATTTTACTCGTACTTTATTTCTTAGAATTTTTGAACATTTTGATTTTAGTTTCGGCACAATGCGAGTGTTCAGTATAATGGAAGAAGCCCCACGAGGCAACAAATGGGCTTCTGAAAGACAATATAAGCTGCAATTTCTGCATTCTCCACAAGATGGAGGTCTCACGTATGTCGAGTGGAACGCACAGACAGGAAATGCTATCACCTACAGACAGGAAGTGAAGTCAAGGAAGATGCTAAGTGATTGAAAAAGGAAGTTCCTGGTGAGAGGTGAGTCGGGAGGAAGTAGAGAGGAGACATTGCTGGGACTGGCAGCAGAGGAGGTAATAAGATATTATTCTATATTTACACCCAGTAACCCTCCCCCGTCATGTCCGTCCTCGTCCTCCATAGTCACTGTGATGGCCATTTATCCAACTGTCCATCCAGAGCCGCCATTTATAGACCGGATACATCCTAAATATAGAGCCATTTATCCAACCGTCCATCCAGAGCCGCCATTTATAGACCAGACTCATCCTAAATATAGAACCATTTATCCAACTGTCCATCCAGAGCCGCCATTTATAGACCGGATACATCCTAAATATAGAACCATTTATCCAACTGTCCACCCAGAGCCGCCATTTATAGACCAGACTCATCCTAAATATAGAACCATTTATCCAACTGTCCATCCAGAGCCGCCATTTATAGACCGGATACATCCTAAATATAGAGCCATTCATCCAACTGTCCATCCAGAGCCGCCATTTATAGACCAGATACATCCTAAATATAGAGCCATTTATCCAACTGTCCATCCAGAGCCGCCATTTATAGACCAGATACATCCTAAATATAGAGCCATTTATCCAACTGTCCATCCAGAGCCGCCATTTATAGACCGGATACATCCTAAATACAGACATTCATCTTTGTACAGAAAGAAGCATCAATGGGGATGGATGGGGACCGAAGTCACATGATGGACAGGATAATAAACCTCACCCTGGAGATCATCTACCTGCTGACCGGAGAGGTGAGCTTTTAGTAAATCACGGCTTTGACTTCCGGGGATATACATGGTAATAACGATCTCATTTTACAAAGGATTTTGTAGTAGTAAAGAAAACTTCTGGTGAGATATGGACCCCTAGAAGCCATCAACAAGAGCCTTCAACTCACCTAACAGCAGAGGGACACAATGACCAGAAGATTCTAGAAGCCACCAAGAAGATGATGGAGCTGCTGACGGGAGAGGTGAGCGGTGCCGGGGATTCTGGGACATGATCCAGGAACAGACAAGGGGCGTGTCTGGGTGGTGATGGGAGAGGTGAGCGGTGCCGGGAATTCTGGGACATGATCCAGGAACAGACAAGGGGTGTGTCTGGGTGGTGACGGGAGAGGTGAGCGGTGCCGGGGATTCTGGGACATGATCCAGGAACAGACAAGGGGCGTGTCTGGGTGGTGACGGGAGAGGTGAGCGGTGCCGGGAATTCTGGGACATGATCCAGGAACAGACAAGGGGCGTGTCTGGGTGGTGACGGGAGAGGTGAGCGGTGCCGGGGATTCTGGGACATGATCCGGGAACAGACAAGGGGCGTGTCTGGGTGGTGACTGTATCATTGTGTGTGTCAGGTTCCTATAAGGTGTCAGGATGTCTCTGTCTATCTCTCCATGGAGGAGTGGGAGTATCTAGAAGGACACCGGGATCTCTACAAGGACGTGGTGATGGAGAATGCCCCGCCCCTCACATCACCGGGTAAGAGGAGAGAGCAGTACGGAGGCTCCGCCTACATCCCCCATCATCTGATACACACATAGAAACAATGTATTCAGTCAGTGTGTGTGTTTCCTACAGATGGATCCAGTAAGAGGAACCCACCAGAGAGATGTCCCCGTCCTCTGTATTCCCGGGATCCCACCCAGGAAGATCTCACCATCCCCCACCATGATCAGGTATATCTGAGGATCTGGACGTCAACAAAGGCTTCAAACTGTATAAGATTATAAACTTTTCTATATTCTCTCTTCTGTGTCATTTTGTGGGCTTAGGGTGAGGACCTGACTGATGTCAAAGTTGAGATTGAGGAGGAAAATGAAGAAGTTTATGTAGGAAGTGATCCGCACTCTACGGGGGAGACAGGTAGGTAATATAAGAGGAGGAGATACTGTACACCATATGAAGGTCCATCTCCATTCCCCAATATAACGTCATGTGACCAACAAATGAGGAGATACTGTACACCATATGAAGGTCCATCTCCATTCCTCAATATAACGTCATGTGACCAACAAATGAGGAGGAGATACTGTACACCATATGAAGGTCCATCTCCATTCCTCAATATAACGTCATGTGACCAACAAATGAGGAGGAGATACTGTACACCATATGAAGGTCCATCTCCATTCCTCAATATAACGTCATGTGACCAACAAATGAGGAGGAGACACTGGACACCATATGAAGGTCCATCTCCATTCCTCAATATAACGTCATGTGACCAACAAATGAGGAGGAGATACTGTACACCATATGAAGGTCCATCTCCATTAATCAATATAAGGTCATGTGACCAACAAATGAGGAGGAGATACTGTACACCATATGGAGGTCCATCTCCATTCCTCAATATAACGTCATGTGACCAACAAATGAGGAGATACTGTACACCATATGAAGGTCCATCTCCATTCCTCAATATAACGTCATGTGACCAACAAATGAGGAGGAGATACTGTACACCATATGAAGGTCCATCTCCATTCCTCAATATAACGTCATGTGACCAACAAATGAGGAGGAGATACTGTACACCATATGAAGGTCCATCTCCATTCCTCAATATAACGTCATGTGACCAACAAATGAGGAGGAGATACTGTACACCATATGAAGGTCCATCTCCATTCCTCAATATAACGTCATGTGACCAACAAATGAGGAGGAGATACTGTACACCATATGAAGGTCCATCTCCATTCCTCAATATAACGTCATGTGACCAACAAATGAGGAGGAGATACTGTACACCATATGAAGGTCCATCTCCATTCCTCAATATAACGTCATGTGACCAACAAATGAGGAGGAGATACTGTACACCATATGAAGGTCCATCTCCATTCCTCAATATAACGTCATGTGACCAACAAATGAGGAGGAGATACTGTACACCATATGAAGGTCCATCTCCATTCCTCAATATAACGTCATGTGACCAACAAATGAGGAGGAGATACTGTACACCATATGAAGGTCCATCTCCATTCCTCAATATAACGTCATGTGACCAACAAATGAGGAGGAGATACTGTACACCATATGAAGGTCCATCTCCATTCCTCAATATAACGTCATGTGACCAACAAATGAGGAGGAGATACTGTACACCATATGAAGGTCCATCTCCATTCCTCAATATAACGTCATGTGACCAACAAATGAGGAGGAGATACTGTACACCATATGAAGGTCCATCTCCATTCCTCAATATAACGTCATGTGACCAACAAATGAGGAGGAGATACTGTACACCATATGAAGGTCCATCTCCATTCCTCAATATAACGTCATGTGACCAACAAATGAGGAGGAGATACTGTACACCATATGAAGGTCCATCTCCATTCCTCAATATAACGTCATGTGACCAACAAATGAGGAGGAGATACTGTACACCATATGAAGGTCCATCTCCATTCCTCAATATAACGTCATGTGACCAACAAATGAGGAGGAGATACTGTACACCATATGAAGGTCCATCTCCATTCCTCAATATAACGTCATGTGACCAACAAATGAGGAGGAGATACTGTACACCATATGAAGGTCCATCTCCATTCCCCAATATAACGTCATGTGACCAACAAATGAGGAGGAGATACTGTACACCATATGAAGGTCCATCTCCATTCCTCAATATAACGTCATGTGACCAACACATGAGGAGGAGATACTGTACACCATATGAAGGTCCATCTCCATCCCTCAATATAATGTCATGTCCCCAACAAATGAGGAGGAGACACTGTACACCATATGAAGGTCCATCTCCATTCCTCAATATAACGTCATGTGACCAACAAATGAGGAGGAGATGCTGTACACCATATGAAGGTCCATCTCCATCCCTCAATATAATGTCATGTCCCCAACAAATGAGGAGGAGACACTGTACACCATATGAAGGTCCATCTCCATTCCTCAATATAACGTCATGTGACCAACAAATGAGGAGGAGATGCTGTACACCATATGAAGGTCCATCTCTGTTCTTTTCTTTCTCCTACAGATGGACACAATGCTTGGATCAGGAATACTTCTGAGGGACATCTTATTCCATCTCCAGATGATGACATCACACAACCTTCTCCAGGATTACTCTCTGGTATACAAAGTATAACTGATGGATCTCAGTATGTGGAGAGGACAGTTGATGCCTCTAATCCTCAGGAGTCTTCTGATGGATCACGTTCCTCCAGTATCTACACACAACATCTGAAAAGTGAGACTACATCTCTAGCTTGCCATCCGTCTGATCCAAGCGAGTCCTCTTCACATGATGATGTCAAGCTGAGCGAGAAGAGATTTCCCTGCTCTAAATGTGAAAACTGTTTCACCTCAAGTTCACTCCTTGCAGCACATGAGCCGCAGCACGGCGACGAGAATCCATTTTCATGTTCAGAGTGTGGGAAAAGTTTTAAATGGAGATCTGAACTTGCGAGGCATCAAATGTATCACGCGGGAACGCGGCCCTATTTGTGTTCAGAGTGCGGGAAATCTTTCAGGCACAAATCCCACCTTGTCCGTCACGTGAGAAAACACACGGACGAGCGGCCCTATTGCTGCTCGGAGTGCGGGAAGCGTTTTAGGCAGGAGACTCATCTGAAGTCGCATCATAGGGTCCACACGGGCGAGACTCCTTTTTCATGCTTGGAGTGTGGGAAGTGTTTCAACCGCAAGCATCATCTTATTATTCATCAGAAGACGCACACGCGGGAAATGCCGCACAGCTGTACGGAGTGTGGCAAGGATTTTATGCAGAAAGATTCGCTCATCAAACACCGGCGAGCCCACAATGGAAGGTGTGCAGAGGAGGGTGAGAACGTCATCGAGCAACATACCCGACGGAAGCTTCCCGTAGAGCAGAGTTCATTGTTGTGTTCAGAGTGTGGGAAGTGCTTTCAAACCAAATCTGATCTTCAGATCCATTGGAGAGGACACACCGGTGAGGAGATCTTTTCATGTGCGGAGTGCGATAAATTCTTCTTAAAGAAATGGCTGCTCATTAGACACCAGAGGGTCCACACTGGTGAGAAGCCCTTTTCATGTTCTGAGTGTGGGAAATGTTTCTCACAGAAAGGGAGCCTCAATGACCACATGAAAGTCCACACTGGCGGAAAGCCATTTTCCTGCCAAGATTGCGGGAAAAGTTTCACCCAAAAAGCAGTACTCATCCTACATCAGAGAATTCACACAGGTGAGCGCCCTTTCTCATGTGTGGAGTGCGGGAAATGTTTCAGTCATAAAAGGCAGCTACTTAAACACAAGCGATCTCACACGGCGGCTCACAATTTTCCGTGTTTGGAGTGCGGGAAATATTACATATGGAAAGGAGACCTCATAAGACACCAGAGAAAACACACAGGTGAGCGTCCTTTCTCATGCTCAGACTGCGGGAAGTGTTTCACTCAGAAAGGAGATCTTCATAGGCACCAAAGAACTCACACCGGTGAACGTCCGTTTTTGTGTTCAGAGTGCGGGAAACGTTTCCCTCAGAAAGCAGGTCTTCTGAGACACCAGAAATGTCACTCGGGCGAGCTCCCTTTTTCATGTGAGGTGTGCGGAAAATGTTTTATGCTCAAGGCTGGTCTCATGCGCCACGAGAGGATTCACACCGGAGTGCGGCCATTTTCCTGTCCACAGTGCGGGAAGTGTTTCCGTCAGAAAGCACACCTCCTTAAACACGAGAGGAGTCAGACGTGTGGACCTGTTTTTCTTTAGTCAGAAGAAAATCTGTTAAAAGGAAATACATGAAATCCTAGCCTACATGTAGTGGAAAGGGCTCTTTTTGGTGGTCCCAAATACTACACTGCTCCCTGGAATGGATGCCATTCTAACAGACATCTGGATAAGGGGAGATTATACAGCATGCCTAGGTAGAAAAGAGTTCCAATGAGCCAGTTATCCCCTTCGGCAGAGAACTTAATGCCCAAGAGTTCCCTTGTGTGACCAGCACTAGAGGGACTTCTCCATCCCAACAAGTTAACATCTAAGTATGATCTAAGTATGATTACTTATTCATCTCAGCAAAGTAGAGTATAGGACCACCTCAAAGTTGGATCCAGCTGAGACCTTTTATTAAGGAGAACTTTGGTTCCCATTGGGGTTATTATACCACATGTCCTGCCCTGGGGACACAACAGATAGTGAGGAGAAATCTTCCTAAAAAGATTCCCACCTTCGGCAGCTGTCTCCTGGACAGATGTCTCCTCTCGGAGTTGTCTCCTAACCTTTAGGTTTGATGACACCTATACATAGTTGGGATACTCCTCAGCTTTTGTCCTGTGAAGCTCTTCGGTAGAATACAGCAGTTAAAACCTGGAGGGGGTTCCAACCTTTTCCTACTCCATCTAGATAGTGATGAGATGGTATGACCTCTCTAGGTCTCCCAACGTCTTCCCAACTGTACAAAGATCCACCATGTGGACAACTGAGAAGTTCAGGACGGCAGACAGAGGTCGGGTACAGCCGTTTTATTACAATACATTCCATAGGTGAGGTTGGTTCAGGAAGCATCTGAAGCCTTCAAAGATCCACCATGTGGACAATTGGGAGGAAGTTTAGGACGGCAGACAGAGGTTGGGTACAGCCGGTTTATTACAATACCTGCCATAGGTGAGGTTGGTTCAGGAAGCATGTGGGGCCTTCAAAGATCCACCATGTGGACAAATGAGAAGAAGTTCAGGACGGCAGACAAAAGTCGGGTACAGCCGTTTTATTACAATACATTCCATAGGTGAGGTTGGTTCAGGAAGCATCTGAAGCCTTCAAAGATCCAGCATGTGGACAATTGAGAAGAGGCTAGTGGCTGAGAATGGCAAGTCGTAAATTTCCACCTGAACCAGGAACCATCTGAAATATTGACATGAAACCTTCAAAGATGTACACAATTGAGAAGAAGTTTAAGAAGGCAGATAGAAGTCGGGTTCAACCGTTTTATTACCTTCCATAGGTGAGAAGATAAATCTTTGTAGGACAGTTCAGGTAGCATATGAAGCCTTCAAAGATGTATAAAGATCCAGCATGTGGAAGGTTTCATATGCTACCTGAACCATTCTACAGCTATGCATCCTCTCACCTGTGGTTGTACCTGACTTCTGCTTGCCTTCTGAAACTTCTTCTCAATTGTCCACACAGTGGATCTTTTTACAATTCAGAAGATGTTGGGAGAACTAAAGCGGTCCATCTCGTCAGTAACTGGATGTATAGATGGAGTAGGAAGAGTTAGGACCGAACGGTTGTACCAACTTCTGTCTGTCTTCTTCAACTTCTCAATTGTCCACATGGTGTCACGCCCGAGGGTTTTTCTATAACCAGAGATGGATCTCAACTGCGGAATCTAGGTTGATCGAGGGGGAAGAGAAACGGCACTCAGTCACGAACCCCAGGTGTCACTCTCAGTCACAGGCGGAGAGTTTGGGGTTCTTGCATCATCAGCCGTACAAACAAAAGCAAGAATGTAAAGGAGGGGGGATTTAGTAGGACATAAAGTTTAGGAATTCCCCCTCTAGGATCAAGAGGACCGAAAAGGGGTTCAGCCCCCCCTAGTACTTCTAGGTTAAGCAGTCCGTGTACACTGACTGTGTGTATAACGGTAACGGAGGTTTAAGGCAGCCCAGCTTTATGATATTATACTAAAGATTTCGCCAACACTTAACCAGGATATCACAGTGCTATAAGTTTAGGAAGTCCAGATGCAAGACATCACATAGCAAATAGGTTTAGGCAGTGCATGAGCTCCATGAACCGAGCCCAGTGGGGCTTCAAATGTACTTGCGCTTAAGGTGACGGGGTCAAACAGGGACACGGATGCCGGGTAGCTTCAGGGAAATCCTCCAGTAGGTCCTGGTCAGTATTAGGGCTGTTTGCTGCGGAGTTCCAGGGTGTTCGGGCATAAGAAACCCAATAGTGAACACCCTTCCTTGTTCCCACTAGGTTTAAATAGGCCGCGGCCGTGACGTCACACGGCCGCGGCGCACTTCCACGTTCCAGCGTGGAACGCATAGCACCTCCGCTAATGGGGGAGGAATTCCTCGGCGGTTACGCCCTCTGCTGCGTTCCACCCTGGAACGCAAACGAGATGCGGCACGGAGCGCAGGGACGTTACACATGGTGGATCTTTGTACATCTTTGAAGGCCTCATATGCTACCTGAACCGACCTCACCTATGGAATGTATTGTAGTAAAACGGTTGTACCCGACCTCTGTCTACCCTTTTAAACATCTTCTCAGTTGTCCACACGTTGGATCTTTGGACATCTTTGAAGGCTTCATATGCTCCCTGAACTGTTCTTCAAAGATTTATCTGCTCACCTATGGAATGTATTGTAATAAATCGGTTGTGCCCGACCTCTGTCTGCCTTCTTATACGTCTTAATGGTTCACATGCTGGATCTTTGAAGGCTTCATATGTTACTTGAACCGTTCTACAAAGATGTATCCTCTCACCTATTAATAAAACTGTTGTACCCGACTTCTGTCTTCCTTCTTAACCTTCTCAGTTGTCCAAATCTTTGAAGGCTTCATATGTCATTATTTCAGATCGTTCCTGGTTCATGTGGACACTTACAACTCACCACAATCAGGAGCGAAGTAGAGTGTGATTGGTAACCAGCTAAGCCAGGCAGAACCATCTGCTCTTCCGTACACTCACAGGTGTGGTCCAGTTGAATCATTCCGTTAGTTTATCCCTCTTTCCTTCTCTGTTGTTCCTCTTTCCTTCTCGGTTGTCCCTCTTTCCTCCTCGGTTGTTCCTCTTTCCTTCTCGGTTGTCCCTCTTTCCTTCTCGGTTGTCCCTCTTTCCTCCTCGGTTGTTCCTCTTTCCTCCTCGGTTGTCCCTCTTTCCTTCTCGGTTGTCCCTCTTTCCTTCTCGGTTGTCCCTCTTTCCTCCGCGGTTGTTCCTCTTTCCTCCTCGGTTGTCCCTCTTTCCTCCTCGGTTGTCCCTCTTTCCTCCTCGGTTGTCCCTCTTTCCTTCTCGGTTGTCCCTCTTTCCTCCTCGGTTGTTCCTCTTTCCTCCTCGGTTGTCCCTCTTTCCTCCTCGGTTGTCCCTCTTTCCTTCTCGGTTGTTCCTCTTTCCTTCTCGGTTGTCCCTCTTTTCTCCTTGGTTGTCCCTCTCTCCTCCCAAGTAGTCTCCCTCTACTCCTCGTTTGTTCTTTCCTTCTCATATGTCCCTCTCTTCTCTGCAATTGTCCCTCTTTCCTCCTCGGTTGTCCCTCTTTCTGGTCTGATGTGCCTATGTCTGTAGGGATACACGGCATCACGCTTTATTGATAAATATTTATTATAATTTATCATTATTGAGAGAAAATTTCCCGGGTGTGGGTGGTTTTATGGGCCTCACCCCTGGCACGAAGTGGCCCCTGGGCTACTTTGCTGCAAGATGTCACCGAATTGTGGCCCTCGGGTTTGCACCACCTGAAGATAGCGGGAACAGGATGGCCATGATGAGGACACAATGTAACGGGACTAGGAATGGTAAGAGTCCACGCTGAGGTTGAGACGAGTGGCAGGAAAAAAGTCAGGGTCTATTTATTTTGTACTGTTGGGGGGCTTCGGGGGGGAAATATTAGGAGTCCAAACAGACCCCCGAAATTTCCCTTCTAAAATAGAAAATACATTTATTTTTCTGCATCCTCCTGAATTGGAAGCACTCAGTACAGAGGCTCCTCCCATTCATATTTACTATCAGCCGTTTCTGAATGGGGAGGAGCCTCTGTACTGAGTGCTTCTCCCCATTGGTGAAATCTTGAATGAACAGGCTGCGATGTAAATCACAGCCTGCTCATTCATAACTGGGGACACCTAGCACTATGTGTCCCCAGTTATTTACAAACACCGGAGTGATCAGACGATGGCTCCAGTGTTTGTCCTTCTCACACGGAGGACCGGTAAATATCACTGATACTCACCCCTCCCCCGCTCTGCCACGCATTCCACAGTCGGATAGAAGTGACATTTCAGGACCAATCAGCTGTCATCCTGAAACTGACAGCATGACAGCGGCTCCAATCTCCTCCCCACTCAGCCATCCTGACAGCTGGGGGCGCGGCTTCTCTCCCCCATCCTGACAGCAGGCAGCGCTCCCTCCTGTGCCCCTCCCCCCCCATGGACGAGGGAGCGCTGCCATATCAGATGGCCAGCGGTGAGGGGGAGAGAAGCCGCCCCCAGGATGAGCTGTGTCAATATGTCAGAATGTTTATACTGCTCTGATATACAGTTCTATTTATGGAAACAATTAAAAATCTATAATTACGGAGATTCCCAATGTATTTCCATAAATCTAAATTTAGGCGACTTCTTTCATTTGCGCTGACTTCGAAGACAAGAGGAATACCAAAGTATACAAAATATAGATATTTATCAAAAATCAGTGCGAAAATAATAATAAAATATAATTGGTGACAAACAAAGAATATGGATCAGATAATATCAATCAATATGATAACACAAGTAATGCATAAAAATGTAACCACTGGATATTAATTCAACAGATAAATGTAACCAAGGTAACACGACTTTTTAAATGTAACGGGTGTCTTCTCGGTATCACACAGAATAAGAAAACGAAAGGCTCAGAATTGACACGTGACTTCTCTCAGCACAGATATTCACCAACTCTAAGGCACCGTTCACATATAGCGAATTGTCGCGCGATTTCCGCCGCGATATCGCGCATTTTTGCCGCGCGATATCGCGAGAAGTCGCCGGCCAATGTAAGCATC